TGGTGTAGGAGTTAAATATCATCAATCAGAAGAAAACTTGGAACTGACTGTGGAACAGATGTCAATTGCACACATGCAAGTTCAGGTTGAAGCTAAAGAAAAATCAAGCCCATGAGAATAAAAATGCAACCTTGAATAAATTCCATGTGAATGTAGGGATCATCTCAAGAATAGGTTGATGCATTGAACATTAATGATCGAAGACCAGATGAATTGTGGGGTAACATCATACATGAAGAGAGTAAAAGGTCACTGATAGGGCAAGAAAGAAAGAAAATACCTAAATGGATGTCAGAAGATACTCTTACAGTACAGTGGCCAAAATGAAAGAATTGATGAAATTAAAGATCTGAACAGGACATTTCAAAGGACAGCTTGTGAAGACAATGTACAATATTACAATGAAAAGTGCAAAAGCTTGTATTTAGAAACCAAAATATTTCAGAATTTCTCAAGATGAAAGAATTGATGGCAAAATTCTAAGTCTCAGGTTGCAATACAGAAGTCAAAACATTGAACAGTGTAGAAAGCATCAAAATAAAATGGAAGGAACACACAGTCACTGTACTAAAATGAATTGATCAGTGTTCAACCATTTCAGGAGGTAACATATGATCAAGAATGAATGTCATGGAAGGAAAAGGTCCTCAATGTACAAACCAAAAAATAACTCATTGCCATTGAGTGAATTCCACCCTATGTAGAAGGCATCAATGGAAAAAACATGGCTCCAGGAATTGAAATAATACCAACTGTGATATTTCAACAAATGGATGAAATGCATTAACTCATCTATGGGAAGAAATTTGGAAGAGGCCAATTGACTGGAAGAGATCCATATTTGGATCTCTTGGAAAGGTTATCCAAGAGAATGTGGACATTTTTGTACAATATCAATATCACTTGCCATTAAAATTTTGCTGAACAGAATTAAAACCCAATTAAATAATGTGTTGGCCAAAATTCAAGTTGAATTCAGAAAGGCACATATCAAAAAAATGAAAGCGAAATGGAACATGTGTTCTCATTGCTGATGTCAGATAGATCTTGCCTGAAAGCAAAGAATATCAGAAAGATGTTTACTTGTGTTATATTGGCTACAAAAGACATTGGATTGTGTGAATTAATAAATTGTGAATAAAATTGTGAGGAATGGAAATTCTAGAATTGTCCTCACATAGAAAGTGATCAAGGACAACAAGATCATCCATGGTTTAAAATCAAGAAAGTGTGCATTAAAGTTGTTTCCTTTCACAGTACTTAAACAATCTTTATGCTTAGCAAATAATATGAAAAACTGGACTATGTGAAGAAGAATGCAGCCTTAGGATTGGAGGAACACTCATGAACAACTTATGATATACAGATGACATAACCTTTCTAGTTGAAAGCAAATAAGACTTTAAGTACTTCCCGAAGATGACAAAGACTACAACATAAAGAAAACAAAATTCCTAAATTGGATCAATGAGCAACACCATGATAAACAAAGTATTGAAGTTCTCAAGGATTTCATTTTAATTGGATCCACAATCAATTCCTATGGAAGCAGCAATTTAGAAACTAAATTATGTATTGCATTGTGCAAATCTTCTGTAAAAGACTTAAAATTAGGGTTAAAAGTAAAGATATTCCATTCTATTCTTGAACCTTAACTGCATATGAAAACTAGACAATGAATAAGAATACTGAGGGTGAGTTGATGCCTTACAATTATTGTGTTGAAGAATATACATATAAGGGGGTAACTCTGTTGGGCGGAGCTTTTGTAGTAAGCGTTTTTCTTGCTAGGGGAGCATCAAGCAACTTGCTCTGAGTTAGTGCACTCAGTGGTGTCTCCTGGGAAGGTTCTCTCTGATCACAGTGAATTGTTTCATGAAAGCAGTTTTGCTTGAACCTCGTTTTTTGTTAGAGAACAGTGTGTGGCTGTGAAATTTTGTTTCCTGCTCAGGAAAAATGCTGCAGAAAGTGTTGTGATGTTGAACACAGATAGAAGGACAATACAATGGGAAAAACTCAAGTGTACGAGTGGTTTTCTCATTTCTAAAAAGGTAAAATGTCGATTGATGAAAAACCTTGTTCTGAATATCTGTCAACTTCCCAAACGGACGAAAATGTCTACTCATAGTGCATTTGGAGTTTGTTCCACCAGGCCAGACTGTTAATCAAGCCTTTTATTTAGAGGTTCTGACAAGATTGCTTAACTATGTGACCAAAAAGACCTGATTTGTGGCAGACTGGAGACTGGTTTGGCCACCACAGTGCACCTGTTCATGCAACCATCTCAGTGCACCAGTTTGGGGCAAAAAACAACATGCCTTTCTTGCCCCACATACCTTACTCACCTGACCTCATTCTGTGTGACTTCTTTTTGTTTCCGCGAATGAAGAAGGACATAAAAGGACAGCAATTTGACAACATAGAAGAAGTGAAGAAAAATTCAGAAGGTGCTGTTAGCCACCCAAACAGATGATTTTGAAAAATGTTTTCAAGAATAGAATCACAGATATGACAAGTATATTAAGTATAATGGAAAGTACTTTGAAGGTTATAAGGTTGTTTTATAAAAAAACTTAAATACATAGCTTTGAAAAAAATTCTGGGGTTTTTTGGTACCCCCTTGTATATCTATATTTTATTTATTCATTCAATCATATCAAGAAGGGTTATCTAATTATCATCACAATCAGCTTTGGAATTTTTCTTTTTTTCCCTTCTTTTACACATTGATGTTTTCCCATTTCCCCCACCTTCCCCTTCCAGGTTTCCAGCTTATCATCCATCCTGTTACTGACTCTGTACTTCCATTTGTCCCAGTTTCCCTATACAAATAATGATAAAAGACTAGGGAAGATGCCAGACAAGGATCCCTTAACAATGACTATGCAAAACTGATACACACCTCAATCTAAGAGAAAACAGAGAATTAGAAGTTTAGAGTAAATTCACATTGGGTCCATAAGTACAGTTACTAAAACCCAGTTTACAATGCTCACTGTTTGATTTTTGGACTATTAACATTACGTTCCTAACCTGTGTGCATTGGGGATTCGCTGGAGGCTCATCCCACATAGTAACCCTGCAAATGGATTTTGAGCTACTACTATCATCCATAGCTTTCTGCAATTCAGTTATTTAGGATTTGGACACCAGTACTGTACCTTTTTCCAGGTTTGGATCTTATATTAGTTATCTTTGGATCACACAGGCTGGTGTGATTCTTCCTTGTGGACTTACATTATGGACTGCAAGAAGTATTAACAAATTTGTCTTGGAAGAAGCTAGGATGTGAAAATCTCATCTCACATAATTTAAATATATTATTAGGAGAGACCTGTGCCTAGAGGAAGATAGCATGCCTGTTAAAGTAGAGGGTCAGCTAAAAAGAAGACCCTCAAGGAGATGGTTTGACACTGTAGCTTAAATAATCGGCCCAAATCACAGCAACCATTGTGAGGATTACCTAGGGCCAAGCAGTGTTTCATTGTTATTCCTAAGCTTACTCTACATCGGAACCAATTTGATGGCACTTAACAAAAACAAGAATTAAAAAACAGATCCTTTAAAACTCTATATATACAGGTTGTGGACCCAAGACCCATCTGTAGGCAACTGGACATCCCCTTACAGAAGCGTCACAGGGAGGAGAAGAGCCAGTCAGGGTGCAGTGTAGCAACAATGAAACATACAACTTTCCTCTAGTTCCTAAATTCTTCCCTCTCCCCCCTCCTCCCCACTATCATTATCTGGACCAGTGGTGAGAGTGGCCTTACCGGGAGGGTGGAGGGAGAGTGGGATGGAAAGGGGGAACCGATTACAAGGATCTACATATAACCTCCTCCCTGGGGGATGGACAACAGAAGTGTGGGTGAAGGGAGACATCAAACAGTGGAAGATATGACAAAATAATAATAACATAAATTATGAAGGGTTCATGAGGGAGGAAGGAGCGGTGAGGGAGGGGAAAAAATGAGCTGATACCAAGGGCTCAAGTAGAAAGCAAATGTTTTGAGAATGATGATGGCAACAAATGTGCTTGACACAATGGATGGATGGATGGATTGTGATAAGAGTTGTACGAGCCCCCAATAAAATGATTAACATTTTTTAATGTAAAAAACTATATAAAATCACATACATATATATACATATATTTGAGATAGAGGAACTCTTGGAATTTACAAAAAATGTTTTAAATGATCTCTTTTTCTAATTATCCCAAATACTTGTTTATTATCTTTTGCTACTTAAAGCACAATTTGGAATTCTACTTTTTCTCTACTGAGTGTTCCATTATGAGAAATTCTTCATGTTATTAAATACTTTAAGAAAGTTTTGAAATTTTGTCTAATAGTATCCTATATGCAAATAATATGATTTATATAATTTTCCAAGTATTGGTAGATATTTAAGTTTTTTCAAATTTTTCTCTATTATTTGCAATGATATGTTAAAATACTTGTCAAAAGAATTGTTTATATTTCTCATTTAAAACAAATATAATTTAATAGTAAAAATAATGTTTAATTTATAAATTATTCTTATTTTATCATATCTCACACCATCCAACGTCTCCCTCACCCACTTCTCCGCTGCCCGTTCCCCAGGGAAGAGGCTATATGTAGACCTTGTCATCTGTTCCCCCTTTCTCCCTCTCCTTCCCTCCACCCTCCCGATATGGCCACTCTCTCCATTGGTCCTGAGGGTTTCATCTGTCCTGGATAATTTATAAATTATCAAGCGTTCAGGGGAAGGGGGGAGCAGGGAGGGAGGGGGGAAAATGAGGAGCTTTCTACTCAAGTAGAAAGCAGGTGTTGTGAGAATGATGATGGCAACATATGTACTAATGTGCTGGACGCAAGTGATGTATGTACAGTTTGTGAAGAGTTGTATGAGCCCCTAATAAAATGATTAAAAAAATAATAATGTTTAGTAAGTATCAACTGACTTGAGCTTTCAATTATCTAATTTGTGACTAGAAACCATGTTTCTTCTCCCAGGGCATAAAACCAGCAAGTTTCAATAAAGTCACTGATCCTGAAGTGAAAGAAATTATTGGAGGGTGTATTCGTCAAAACAAAACTGAAAGGTGGGTGTGAATATAGCAAAATGACATACCTGATGTATACACTTTTATCTCAAATCGAGTGATTTTTCTGATCTTTAAATCATGCTAGGTATGGCTCTTGAGTGGGAGCCAAATAATATTATATAGAATGATGGATATCAATGTTAGATAACATTTTAAACTTGTGTATCACGTGATGAATTTTTCTCAAACCATTTGGGTTTTGTTGTGTATGTGTTATGACAAACTTTCATCACCTTCAGACATTTAACATTCAGTGGGTCCTCACTACCTTCTCATAGTTGATTGCAAAGAGCTTTTTGCATAATCTGCCACTTTCAGGTACATTCTTAAATGGTTTTTTAAATGATATTTTTTCTTTTTAAAATATGACATATATTTGTGTCATTACAGCAGTAAAGCTGATAAAAATACTTTTGTTTTAGAGAGAATATTATAGGTTTATTTGTATCACAATCTTACTTTCTTATAGTCAACTCCCTTTAGTCCTAGCTTTAATGTAAGCTTTCAATAGTTGCTGACAGACATTATTAGTTTAGTTTTTTTTTATTTATGTCCTATATAAATATTTCCACCAACATTTCACTGACTGTCCCCCATTCTTATTAGTTTTCTATCTAGGTTTAGTGTTGCATATATGAGACTATATAAAGCCACAAGGTAAGGCCTGTTTAATTATAGCTTTATTATAGAACATTTTTAGTGTGTGTACTGACAGGCTACATCTAGGTATGTTTTTAAAGAGAGGCTGAAAATACTATATTGAAGGTGCTATTTTAGTTTGGATTATGATTGTTTTGTATAGTTTTTAAGTTATCTGCATCAGAGAACTTTGGAATATTCAAAAGGATTCATGGCATGTTGGTGTATTGGGAAGAGCACAAGTGTCAGAATAAAATTAACATTCAAATCTAAATTCAAATGTAACCTACTTTTGTAGTTAATATTCAGTAAATAGTGGCTTATGCGGCTACTGTTATTATTTATCAGTAAAAATACTTAGATGAATTTTTATTGAGAGGCAGAGAGCTTAACATATTTGTGACATCTTAAAGCATATCTCACTGAAACCTAAAACCAATTAGCCTGAGAAAACCAATACTTATAACATCATTTTAGTCACGTGTCTCTTGATGATTAAAAATGTAGAAGTTGAAAATCCTCAACTTACAAGATACTGTGTTGTCAATATTCTCTCTCTATTTTAAATAGCACTAGTGGGACATTCTGCCTAGGCATTATGGACTGTATCAATTTCACTTTTCCTTGGTTATAAATGATATGTTATATACGTGTTTTAAAAGTTGGTCCAAGAAAAGAAAACTAATTCTCCCTCCTTGTAAAAGAATTTTTGAACCCATGTTCTTTGATTCTATTAAGAGATATATAACCCCTAATATTAGGTTAGGGTTGTGTCCACTATATGTATGCTTTGGCCTAAAAACAGGCTTAATTGCTTTGAGAAAAGCACTGGACATTGCTGAAATTGTGTTAGCTTCATCAGTAGTGCTTTCTAAAGAGTAAGCTATACTGACTAGATTATTGTTAGTGGAGTCAATGATTTCTATTTGCAACATTCATTAACAAGTTTTGATTTCATGTATCTGGGAGTGCTTTAGCTTCCTTTGCTTAGAATACAGTGTTTGAGTAATTTAAGGTGGTGGATTAGTGAAGAAACATAGAAAACAAAACAACTCCAGGAAGGACCATAGTTTATCATTCTCAATCCCATACTGATTTTAAAGCATGTTTTAAGGGTCAACTGACCCTGCAAATGTCAAAAAATCTAAAATAAAACCTACAGTAAATGGATCTTTTAAGTCATAAACCCACAAAGACAGGGAAAATAGGAAAAGATAATAGCAACCCATCTACCATGGACTTCTCTATTTCTCTCTAGGTATACATTTATACACAAGAGTTAAGTCAAAAAGCATTGCTCAAAGATCATGGAAACCTTTATTAAACAAAAATACACAAATATGGAGCTGTTTCATGACACATCCTCCCTCTAGGTCTTTTTGTGTTTCCATCTCTCTTACCCTTCCTTAAAGAATTCTGTGCTCTTCTATTTATACCATGTCAAAATGACAATTTCAGCATCCACGAGGAACTCAAATAATTTTCCTTTTCAATGTTCTTTGAGTTTGGGGAACAAAAGGAAGTGTAAAGGAATAAGATCAGGGTTTTAGGGTGGATAGGGTAAAGTTTCCCAACAAAACTCATATAGGACTACCCTTCCTATTGTTGAAAAATTGAGCAGGTGCATTGTCATGATAGAAAAAAATGCTTCAGGCTAAACTTCCTGGCCTTTCTCTCTTTAATGCAGTTTATAATTTTCTTAAAACTTATTTGTGATGATCCCTCATGATTTTCCTGAGTCTTGTGAGATAATCTATCAATATTACCCCACTGGGATACAAAAAGCAGTTGTCATAATCTGGGCTCAGCTCTCTGAATTGGGTTTAAATGTTTTAGCAAATCCCCTTGGAAGTCACTGTTTTGATTGGATCTTTTTTAAAGGTACCCTAAATAGATTATGATAAGTATATTACTGAGATTACTTGTCTGCAGCCATCCATGGATTACAGTGACATTTAAACACATGTTCTTTGGAATAAACTCATGCATGTTTAAACTAGAATCCTGATAGCAATATTTTTTCATATGTTGAACTTTGGGATAGAGATGTGTTACTGGTAATAGCTGATCTTTTGTATCAGTAAGTATGCATGCTAGTTGAGATTTCTTTGCATCCATGATGAAAAACTTTATATAGGGTTTGATATTTATAACAAGAAAGATTAATATAATAATTCAGAAAATTTTTAAAATAAGATTGTTATTTAGATACAATTACTACTAACTGATTAAATGGTGTCATTTATATCTTGCTTATGACTGGAAAATTGATCAGGACACATTTATATTGTTTAATAGGTTGTCTATCAGGGATCTACTTAACCACACATTTTTTGCTGAAGATACAGGATTGAGAGTGGAATTAGCAGAGGAAGAGGATTGTTTAAATTCATCCTTGGCTTTAAGACTCTGGGTTGAAGACCCTAAAAAATTGAAAGGCAAGAACAAAGACAATGAAGCTATTGAATTCAGTTTTAATTTAGAAATAGATACACCTGAGGAAGTAGCTTATGAAATGGTAAGTAAATCCTACCATTGTTATTTCTCTTCTCCCCCTTTCTAATATCAGAATTTATTCATTTCTACTTCTAATTGCTTTCTTTCCTCTCATTTTTCCTTTTCTTTATTTAAATTGACATTTTATTTTGAAAGGTAAGTGTACAGAAGAGTATATTAAATTTGTTTGTACAGTGTGAAGAATAATAAAACTGCCTTTGTTAAGAAATATAGAACATTACTGAAAATGTTCTACGTCCTACTCTTGTGACTAGTGACTGTGATCTAAAGTCCAAGTAGTGGCTTCTCCCTGTCTGGAGCAGAGAAGAATGAAGAAAATCAAAGACACTTAGAAACTAGAAACATTAGTCCAAAGGACTAATGAACAGCATGAACCTTAACCTCCCTGAACCTGAGACCAGAAGAACTAGATGGTACCAGGTCAAAACAAGACTCAAAGTCACAAAAATGATCAGGCCTATCGGTCAGGTATATATATTAGTAGAAACCCAGTTACTATGCCCCTTTAGTCACCTTTCAGGTCTGAAATTGAATTCACCCCAGTGATTCAACTTTCAGCCAAACAATATATAGATCTATAAGATAAGCAATAGCACTAGAGAGATACACTTCTCATAACAAGCAATCATCAAGGACAAAGTTTAGAATGTAGGAAGGGATAGGGAATAAGTATGAATGGAGGGAGAAAGTAGTAAACCTGATTTGCTGTGTAAACCACCAAAATAATAGTAAAAGTTAAAACAAACATAAAATAACAAGAGCATTGCCAAAAGGCCTAAATCAAGGTGCTCGTTGACTTGGACTTTTATCTGAGGCTCTGGTGATGAATTTTCTTCATGCTCTTTCAAGCTGTTGCCAGAATTTAATTAATGTGGTTTTAAACTGAGGTACTTTTTCTTGGTTGACTAGAGTGTTACTTTCAGCTACTAGAGACTGCTCTTCAGTCTTTGCATATGCCTCCATCCCATCTTCAAAGATAGCAATAACATTTTGAATCAAGTGCTATGAATCTCTGACTTCTGTTTTTTACCATCAGCTGGTAAAAAGTTTTCTGGTTTTAAGGACTCATGTGATTAGATCAGAATCACCTAAATAACTTTCCTGTCTTAAGATGGCGCTTTCTACTTCCATAAAGAGTTACAGTCTTGGAAACTCACAGGAGCAGTTCTACCCTGTCATATAGGGTCACTATGAGTCAGCATTTGAGGTGACAGCAGTGAGTTTGGTTTAAGGTCAACTGTATCATATTGCATTACATAATAATTGCAGCAATATCTCACCGTATTCATAGTTACAGAGTAAGACATCTTTGTAGGACCACAATTCTACCTACCACAGAGACTAAGAAACATATTAAATGTGTATTGCTTGCATAGGATATGTGAACTTTGACCTTTGCTTTAAGCTATTTTGTTGGCCCATTTACTAGGGTATCAGCATCTTAAATTTTTTTAATTTTAAAAATCATTTTATTGGCACATGTAATTCAGATATCATACAGATCTAGATACTATCCTTATTGATATCCAGGCACCATATACTTTCTTCACCACACTTTGCTGTAGCACCCATCTCTTCAGTGATCTCTTCATGAGTGCAAGCATCAAGCAGGATCATGTCATAAGAACTAATTGTTATTAGATTGGGGCTTGAATTTAATTCAAGCCCCAAATCCAGTCACATATCTAAGGTTTAGATATCTATGTGGTCCATTTTAGAGGTCTTATTACTCTTTTATGATTGAGAACATTATCAGTCATTCTCCTGGGGCATAAGGTAATTCTTTTGATAGTGTTATTAATTTATCCAGTGGTATAGAATTTAACATACTTGAACGTCAAGACAAGATGAGGGGGGAGTATCTGTGTTTCAGAGGAGGCATTTGCATTGTGGTTGGTGGATCAACAGGGAGGAGCAACTTCCCATCAGGGAGAAAAAAACATTTAACAATACTTATATAGAACACAAGGGGAGAATAAGTCCAGTACTATATTCATAAATAGGCACTTTTGATAGTGTCTGTATCAAAAATATATGTATTTTTATAGTGTAGTCTCTATCCAGCCCTTGGCGCCCCAGGTCATATGATATAAACTACTGTGACTTTAGACTCTGTCCTTTCAAGGTGCCCAACATCCTTCAGAGGCACAACATTCTATAAATTGTTGATTTGTAAGGATTAAATTCTTAAGTGATTAAAAACTATTTACATTGGCAATGGGGGTTGGTGATAGGGCAAAATTTCCAAAACACTTATTCAAAAAGTGACTGAATGAGATCATATATATATATACTCCATCTAGCATCCAAAAGGTGCACAACATCCTCCAGAAGGACTAGATGTGGAAACCCCAGTAATTGAGCTGGATTTTACCTTAAACTTTCCTGTAGACCTTGGACTTAAGACTGAAACTTCCTGGTGTGAGAAGAAACAGATGGCTGCCACCCCAATTGGGAGTCATTGGACTTTGGTTTGAACCCCTTGCTTTGAGGGTACCCAAATAAAGTGGTCCAACAAAGCCATGTATTTACTATCTTAATGTCCTCCTTGCTTTACTATAACATGTATTAACCTGATAGGTATTGTTCTGCCTTTGTGAATGTGGTCCAGACCCAATCTATACTGGGATAACTTCTTATATCAGTGCATTTAGGTCTTTCTTGGGTTGGCCAGATTCCTCTAAGAAGGATCTTTCAACCTGTTATCTGGAGCGGAAAGGTCTAGTTATTAATATTCTAGTGGCTCAAAAAGGAAAGTTGTCTAGGGATTTTTGCCTTTGACATTTAACATATATATGGTAACTTAGTCTTATTTTTTACATGATAGCCGTATCTTCAACTATGCTTAGTATACCATAGTCTAGAAGTCCTCTTGTTCTTTATAGAGAACAAAACAGCAGACTTCTGCAATAGGGAAGAAGGACTCACCAGCAGTGTGTATAATGGAGGGGGTTGGGGTAAGGACCTATACATATATCTGCTTCCCAAAACCCTTTACTTATAAAAATAGAGGAAAGAACTAGGAGGGAAAAGATATTTATAGAGGTATAAACATAGACATGCACATATGTAAATATAGTAATATATAACAATAGGGATATAGACCTATGTACATATATTTATAGGTTAAGTATTAAGGTAGCAGACAGACATTGGTTTCCACTCAAGTCTTGCCTCAATGCAAGAACACTTTGTTCTAATAACCTGGCATTATGTGATGCTCACCTTCCCAACACAATTTCTGAAAACAAAATGGATGCATAAGCTAATGTGAAGAGCTGATGGTGCCCGACTTTGACAAGATCCAGCACTGGGGTGTTAAGGCTTGAAGTTAAACAAGCAGCCGTCTAGCAGAGAAGTAACAAAGCCCACATGGAAGAAATGCACCAACCCATGTGATCACAAGGTGTTGACATAATCAGCTCTCAGTCATCAAAAGACCAAAATCAAGCAACCATTTTGATGAGAACGAGCTAGTCAGAAGGGAGACCCAAAGCCCATCTGTAGACAATTGGACATCCCCTCATAGAAGGGTCACAAGGAAGGGATGAGCCAGCTAGGGTGCAGTATAGCACTGAGGAAACACACAACATTCCTCTAGTTCTTTAATGCTTTTACACCACAACCCCCAATTATCATGACCCCAATTCTATCTTAGCCCAGCATGTACACTGGTAGAGATAAGAGCTCTTGACACACAGAATCCAGGACAGATAAACCCCTCAAGACAAGTATTGAAAGTAGTGATATCATGAGGGTAGGGGGAAGGTGGGGGGAGGGAAGGGGGAACCGATCACAGTGATAGATGTAATCCCTCCCTGCCCAGGGGGATGACCAACAGAAACGTGGGTGAAGGGAGACAGCAGATGGTATAAAATATGAAAATAAAAATAATTTATAAATTATCAAGGGTTCAAGACGGTGGGAGGGTTGGGGAGGGAGGGGAAAAAGAGCTGATACCAAAGGCTCATGTAGAAAGAAAATATTTTGGAAATGATGATGACAACATATGCACAAATATGCTTGATACAATTGATGTATGGATTATTATAAAAGCTGTAAGAGCCACCAATAATATGACTTATTAAAAAAAACTTTTACTTATTCTTCCTTAATTTAGCCAATTATTTTCCTCCTAAATCCTGGCAGCACTTAATATTGTCATTTCCTATGCCTGATGAGTATTCTTCAGTATAAATTTAAATGAATCTCAATTTCCCCTACTGTTAATTTAGTCTTCAGGCTTTTCAGGTCTACTAAGTTACTTATTACTTATCCATTTGTTTACCAAATGTTTGGATTGTCTTTCTCCTATTCACCTTATCCTTGTGGGTTTATAATTAAGAAAAATGTTTTAAAAAGTTATTTATGTCCTTTTTTTGTAAAAAAAAGTTACATTTATGTTTTTTTTCACACCACCAGGTTCAGAACTCATATTATACAAAGCACCAACGTATTCATTTATATATCTCTATTCAGTACTAGTAAAATTGTATGCACTTCATGTTTCTGAATGAGTAAACATTAAAAATATTTGACAAACTGTAGTCTGAAACACAGTGTTGGTTTATATCACAGTTATTTCAACAATGCTTGTTAAGAGTGTTCTTTTTAAAAAAAATGCCAAGTGAAGACTCTGGCATGCATTCATATCTTTGAATAAGAAAGGATCAAGAAATAAAATAACTTATATAATAGCATTTGGAATTTGGCCGGCATACAATAACTACTAATTAAAAGAAAAGTTAAAATCTTAAATATTAAAGAAGTAGTTTGCTTATTTCATTTTGTTTGTAGGTCAAGTCTGGTTTCTTCCATGAAAGCGATTCTAAAGCTGTTGCTAAGTCCATTAGAGACCGTGTGACCCTGATAAAGAAGACAAAGGAGAAGAAGCCAGCTGGCTGTTTGGAAGAACACACGTATTCCCAGTGCAAGTCTATAGGGAAGGTGCTCTTTCCGTACCAGAATACTACTTTACCCTCTGCTTCTGCTCAGCAGACAGGACCTGAATGTGAAGAAACTGAAGCTGATCATCATGTTCCACAACAGCTTCTACAGAGAAAATCACAACAGCACTACTCCTCTGTTACAGGTAACACGATTAAAATGTATTAAAAAAATCAATGTGTAATTATATTCTTGTCTTTAAGTAGTGCTTTTGTATATTTAAAAGCATTCTATTATCTGTCATTTTATCAATCTTTTTTTTTAAGTCCCTGAAATAGACAAGCTAGTTTCCTTATCTTAAAATTAAGAGGCTATCCAAAGTGACTTTTCAAAGGTTATAAACTGACCTCCTTACTCCTTTTTAAAGAGTCTAAGCTACACCATTTAAGAAATAAATTTCAAGTAAAGTTACAATTTATTTTTTATGAAAGGGTTTTCAAGACCCTTAAGACTCTGTAATTTTGACTCCATTATCAACAGTCCTTCCAGTTTCACTGCTATAATGCATTCTCTTCTACAGAAAGGCACAGTATTTTCTTTTTTCTTTTTTCTTTTATTGATCCTTTTATTGAGGGCTCTTACAATTCTTATTATAACCCATACATCAATTGTATCAGGCATATTTATACATATGTTGACATCATTCTTTTCTAGACAGTTGCTTTTTTAAAAATCATCTTATTGGGGGTTCATACAACTCTTATCACAATCCATATATACATCAATTGTATAAAGCACATTTGTACATTCATTACCCTCATCATTCTCAAAACATTTGCTCTCCACGTAAGCCCCTGGCATCAGCTCCTCATTTCCCCCCTCCCTCCCCGTTCTCTCCTCCCTCATGAACCCTTGATAATTTATAAATTATTATTTTGTCATATCTTACACTATCTAACGTCTCCCTTCACCCGCTTTTCTGTTGTCCATCCCCCAGGGAGGAGGTTATATGTAGATCCCTGTAATAGGTTCCCCCTTTCCACCCCACCCTCCCTCCACCCTCCCGGTATCGCCACTCTCACCACGGGTCCTGAAGGGATCATCCGCCCTGGATTCCCTGTGTTTCCAGTTCAGTATTTTCATAGTAATAGTCAGTTGTTCTATTTAAAATAAGGATTATTTTCTATCCACGTTCTAGTGAAAAAGGACTATGAATTTTAAAATTCACTAAACTTTTACTGTCAACTATAGATTTAAGTTAGGTAAATACAAGAAATAGACTGCAAATTGAGTTGATCTTTATGATTCTTTGTATTTAGGTTTGCTTTACTTCAAAAACTTCAGTTTGACCACAAGGTCAGCATTTTATTTTTAATGGAGATTGTATGTGATAGTTTTTAATTAATTCTGTACATATTCCATTTAAATCTGTCTCAGATTGTCAGAAAAAAATAAACACATTTTAAAAACACTATCACCTATGCCATTTGGACATTGTGTTTCAAATTTTCCCCTCTATCTATTGTTTATTTCCTTTTCCATAGGTGGAAATTTGTCAGAGTCAGGAACTGGATCAGTTATACATTCAGATACTTTTAGTAAGTCCAGTATAGTCTATTCTTCTGATCAGACAATGGGCTCTCAAGTGGTTTCTAACATGCTACAAGCTGAAATAAATGTTCCAGGACAGATTTATCCACCTCCACAGTTAAGAGGATGTTACCAGCAAAATTCAGGGGTGAGTTGAACTGTTATTTGTTAAAATGTATAACCAAGGTATTTACTATGAGTGGGAGAAATTATCTGTAATTTTTGTGCCCTTATTTTTAGTTTCAGAAGCAGCCAAAGCTGCCTCAGCCCCAAATTTTGCCTTTGGCTCAAGGTCAGTCTACTATTGTGCCTCCAGTTGTTTCACAACCCCAGATTTCCCCAATAACTCTCCAGAAGTTGTCACAGATAAAGGTAAAATATTTTAGAAGTTCTGTATTCATTTAAACAAAGTTAACACTGTCTTTATTTTCTAAAAGACAATGGCTCTTTTTCTAATATCAATCATAATTTAGGTAAAGGTTACTGAAAGCTAAAAGTTGTTTATACTTTTCTTTAAGCTATTTCTCCTTTTTAAAAAAGTTTTGAGATATATATTCTTATTAACATACTGACATATACAATTCAATAGTTCATTCATATTAAGAAGAGTTGTGCAATCATCACTACAATCAACTTTGGACCATTTTCTCCTTTTTTGTACCCAATGATGCTGACTCCTCACATTCCCCAATTTCCCCTTCCATGTCCCCAGTTAATCTCCATAGATCCACTCATCCTATCCTGACTTCCCTTTACAGAAAAACACGGAACACAAAGATAAAAAGGAATAAAGGGTCCAGCAGCACTGACCAAATAAAACAGAGAAAAACCTCAATAGAAAAGTAAGCAGGAAATATTTAAAAACTAGAATAATTTCAAAATGAGTGAAAAGGAAGATATAATGACAAATTTTTTATATTCTAGATTCATTACAACTGCTAAAATCCACTTTACAATTCTCTATGTCTGATATTAAGTCTATTAACATTTCTAGACTATAATCAGTGGGAACTTACTGGAGGCTTAATCCAGAGAGGAACCTGCAAATGGGATTATGGGGGGTTTCCACTAGCATCCATAACATTTTGCAAACCAGGTGTTTAGAATTTAGGCTCTGGTACCATTCCATCTTCTAGGTTTAGATTTTATTGTTTACAATGCTTGAATCACACAGGTTTTGTGCTTTTCCCATGTGGACAGCTGTATTCTCACTTAAATCTTTTGAGACAAGCCTTTAAGACTCTGGACATGTTTTTTTCTCTGATAGACACCATCTGATTTCTTTATACACTTTGCTATAGCATCCATATCTTCAGTGATCTCATAGGCTCTTTTACCTAGCAAGCCCATGTCACAAGATCTAATTTTCTTATATTAAGGCTACAATTAAGTGAGAACTCAAAATGTAATCCTATAGCTATGATTTATATATGTCCTTGAAGACATCATTGTCATTTTATTGGAGTACATTATAAATCATCCCCATGGAGCATAAGATAGCTCTATTGATAGTAACAGTATTTTAGTGACTTAGTGACTGGTATAAAATTCAAAACACTGTTGGGAAAAGGAATTTATACATCTGTAGGAAATCTTATTTATACATCTGTAGGACATCTTAGTAGACTATAATACATGAATTGTTAACTTGTACAGCTTTGAAACAGGTGAGTAGACAGTAGTTAAACAAGACATAAGGGTTAAAGATATGACATTATTTTCAATAACGCTTATTTACAAAGGCAGCACCATGCCTGATAGACTAACACATGTCACAGAAAAGCAGAGAGAGTAACAGCAGCACATATATGTTGATCCTGGGTCAACATTCGTTGAGCACCCTCAAAGTAATATATGAATTTTTTTACATATTTGTCATCGTTTTTGGGGGATGCATAATATTCCACTGTTTGTATATTACAGAGTTTATCAGTTTTTCCACAGACAGGGTTTTTGGTTGTTTCCATCTTTTTTCTATTATAGAAATGCTGCAATAAACATGGATGTGCATATATCTATTCATGTTTTGCTTTTTATTTCTTTGGCCATATACTAAGTAGAGAGATTGCAGAATCATATGGTATTTCTTTTTGCATTTATTTAAGGAAGTGCCATACTGTTTCCCATAGTAACTGTCCAATTCTGCAATCCCACCACCAATCTCTCCACATCCTTTCCTGCATTGTTATCTTCGAAAAAAATGTGCTAAGAGTGTCTCTGTGAGGTTGTATCTCATCATTGTTTTAACTTGTATCTCTATCTTTCTGTCTATGATTGTTGGCTACCTAGAGGTCATCTTTAGTAAATTGTCTCTTGTGCCCATTTTTCCAAATTGGGTTATTTGTGTTTTTCTTATTAAGGTACTGTAGTTTTCTATAGATTTTTTAAATTAGCCCTTTATCTGATAATATCATTGCCAAATATTTTTTCCCAATCTGTAGGTTCTCTTTTTTAAATCTTGATGAAATCTTTTGATGTATATAAATGTCTTATTTTTAAGAGGTCTTATGTCTCCTGTTATTGTTGTTGAGTGCCACCTAGTCGGTTTCTATGTTTAGTGATTAAATGCACAACAGAATGAAACATTTCTTGGTCCTGTGACATTGTTTCTATGCTTGCTCCAATTGTTGCGGCCACTGTGTCCATCCATCTCATTGAGGGCCTTCCTCTTTTTCACTGCTCCACTACTTTACCGCCCATGATGTTCTTCTCCAGGTAATGATCTCTCCTGATCATATATCCAAAATATATAAGACAAAGTATTGCCATCCTGACTGTACATCTTCAAGACAGATTTGTTTGTCTTTTTGGAAGTCCATGATGCCTTCAATATTCTTCACCAGTACCACAATTCAAATGCATTGCTTCTTCTTTGGTTCTCCTTATCCACTGTCCAGTTTTTACATACATATGAGGCAATTGAAAATACCATGGCTTGGATCAGACCCACTTTATTTTACTTATTTTAAATCATTTTATTGTGGGCTCTTACACCTCTTATAACATTCCATGCATTAATTATATCAAGCATATTTGTACATATGTTGCCATCATTTTTTAAACATTTATTTTTTGTTTCAACCCTTGGTATTAGCTCCTTTTTTCCCTACCCCCACCCTCATGACCCCTTGATAAATTATACATTATTATTATTTTCATATCTTACACTGACTGCTGTCTCCCTTCACCTACGTTTCTGTTGTTCATCCCCCTTGGGGGGGGGCCAGTTATGTATCAATCACTGTGATCAGTTCCCCCTTCCTCCCCTTCGCCCCCCAGCTTTCCTCTACCCTCTTGGTATAGCTAATCCCATTTCTGTTCCTGAGGGTTCTATCTGACTTGGATTCCGTGTGTTCTGATCTCTTATCTGTACCAGTATACATGCTCCAGTCTCGCCAGAACTGAAAGGCAGGACTAGGGTCATGATAGTGGTGGGTCAGGAAGCCTCAAGGAACCAAAGGAATAATGTGTGTGTTTCATTTATGCTATACTGTGCCCTGGTTGATTCATCCCTTCCTTGTGACCCTTTTGTGAGAGGATGTCCTATTACCTACAGATGGGTTTGGGTCTCTGCTCCGACCCCCCTCGTTATCAACAATATGTTTTTTGTTTGTTTGTTTCGGTTCTTCTGGTGCCTATTACCTGATTCCATTGACACCTCATGATCCCACAGGCTGTTGTGCTTCTTCCATGTAGTCTTGTTGCTTCCCAGCTAGATGGTTGCTTGTTTAACTTCAAGCCTTTAAGATCCCAGAAGCTATATATTTTGATAGCCAGGCACCATCAGCTTTTGTCACCACATTTGCTTGTGCAACCATTTTGTCTTCAGCGATCATACTGGGAGGGTGAGCATCACAGAATGCCAGGTTGTTAGAACAAAGTATTCTTGCATTGAGGTAGGGCTTGAGAAGAGGCCCAAAGTTCATCCACTTCCTCAATGTGTTGCCATATAAAAGTATGTACACAGGTCAACACCTCTATTTTTATGAATTAATATATTTACGTAAGTGCATGCCTATATTTATACCTCTATCCATAGCTTTGCTTCCTAGATCTTTCCTCTGTTTCTTTTTACCTTTCTCCTGCCCCACCATCAGGCTTGCCCTTCTTCTGCCTCTTAGTAATTCCTCCCAGCTGGATTGCTGTTACTCCAACATCACCAGGACCTCTATGTCCTCCTCATTGTTGCTTTTAATTCCCTAGTTATTTCCCCTGTCTATGGCATTGTTTTCTCACCGCTCCTTTCACCCACCTCCTCCTCCCAAGTCCCTCCAGAACCGCCAGTCCCGTTGCTTTATCCTCGGGCTTGCTTCCCATGTCTATCTTATATAGGTAGACAAAACAACGGAGACAAAATAAAAAGAAAAGAAAAGATTGAATGAAAAGAGAAAACAAACTAGCCAAAAAAAACCCCTGAAAAAGCATACATAATTCCAGGTCGGTCTGCTGACCTTTATGACTATCTCCTCATTGATCCTGGAGGGTTCTGGGAACTGCCCCTCTTAGCTTGAAGTCTATTTTGGGGGCTCCCCCAGGTATTTGTGGCTTGTCTTTGCTCCCGTTGCTGATCTGTTATGTTCCCTTCTTGGTTCGCACCACTGGGGGTTGTCAGACTGGACTCAATCCCCAGCGTGTGTCCCCAGTATTGTCCTCTATCATGGAATGCAAGGGGACATCGTGTCTCAAGCTGTTGTCAGCCCTACAGTTCTCTCTGTGACTTAGCAGCTCCACACAGGGACGTCATCCTCAGGGATTGGTGTGCCATTATGGGGTCTAGTCACTCGCTCTCTATTTTTCCTTGGTTTGTTTTTGTATGGGCATGGCAGGCTGACCCTCTCCCCAACCTGTAGGTTTAGTGTTGTCCTCTGAAGCACATAATTCTAGGAACAAGCAATCAGTTTGGCTCTGATTGGGGCGGTCCCTGTAGACATCTCTGTTTATGAGTTGCTCCATGTGATTACATTGCCCTCAAAGTTTGGCATACCGTGGAACGGTCTGCACTCACACTCTCATTTCTATGGAGACATAAGTACTCTCACTCTGGGTAGATTAGTGCCCTACTCCCCCAGTGCCATTGTCTCCCTATTGTTTTCCCCTTCTCCCACCCCCTTTCTCTTTCTTTGGGTTGGAATGACATATTGATCCTTGAGTTTGGCCTGTACCCTGCCTGATTGCCTATAGTTCAACTCATAAAATGTGAGATAAATGGCTTTTCTTCTATACCTACTGTGCTGATTATACTTACCTCAGTGGACTCATGTTATTGTCCTTTTGTGATTGGCTAACTTCACTTAGCATAATTTCCTTCAACTCTTCCCATGAGATGATGTGCTACATGTGATCAGTGTTTTTTAGTGATGTGTAGTACTCCA